CGTTAAATCGCGTCGAACGTCGTTCAAACGCGTTCAATTGCGTTAAATCGCGTTTAACAACGGTTGACGTCCTTGCAGTAGTTTGTCTGCGTGAAGTGCCTCGTGGCCTGAAATTGGGTCCCTTGGAAAACTTTGTTGCAAAACGTTGTCGAGCGCATCGGTCCGGCACCGCACCAGGGTAGCGCGGGACCCTTCTGGCCTCGTCATGCAGGAATTGGTTTGAATTCCGTCGTCGCACGTACACATGTGGAGCTTCCGCAAGCCGCTCCGACCGAGTGCGCCAGCCATACCTCTTGCGAGCCCCTACGACAAGACAGGACTTACGCGAGGCACGACTTACCTCCACCTTACGGGAGCTGTCACCTCCCTTCGCTAGGCGTATCCCCGCCGAGCTACCAGTTTACAGTACGAAAGCTAATAAGTTGCAATCGCAGAGGTGGACCAGCCGATGACGTTTCTCGTTCGCTGTAGCATAGCGGGTACACGCGGTACGACGCCTCTATTCTACCCGCACGCGAACCGACATTTTGGGGGGCTGAGGTCCCAAACGCGACTAGTCATCGGTCCACTAGGACGCATCCCACACACCACGCGCACACCACTTTACGAACACAAAAATAAAACACCCACACACACACATACGAACGACACAACACAAACAACGCGACAACGCTCCTAGCCCCTCGGTAGCCAACCTATAACTTTCCAATGCGGAATCCGGATAGGCGTCCCGCGCGAGACTAAGTTTAAGACCGCGCAGACTCAGGGCTAATTCATACTGACTCGCGATGCAAGCGTACGCAAGCAGTCGCAATGATGGCGTACTATGTAGTACCTATACTCACACGACCCTCGTTAATCTCGAGGGTCGCATTCGACACTCAGTGTCAGCTGACACGCGCCTTGAGGGTTAATCTCTTGACGCTGGACAACCGTTATGCGCGGTTGAAGACCACCCACCCTTTTACGCACCTTATGCAGAGCGGGTGGTACACAGGTCTACACCTTTGGTGGCAGTCGTTTCTTACTGCCCTGGGGTGAGTTCCACTCAGGGCCCGAACAAAAGTCAAGGGGTTTGACTTTGATGGTTGCCACGGACTCCAACGTCCAACTATACAACTTTTAAAAGCAAGGATAAAAAGGGAATCTCCCTTTTCTCTCAAGACATAATCTGGTCAATCCTTATGCACAATTACAGTAGGTCTGTCAACACTCAAGGCACTCATCAATATATGGGGGTTGGTTATATAGGACGATCACTTCTCACAGTCACAGTGAGGCTCCTCTCAACCATATATGTATGTAATCGCAGACAATCACATCCAGAGTCCGAACCACAAAACATATCTGCAATCACATCAAAGATTCAACCAAGGGTGCACACGCTACACGGGGTCAACTTCAATCATTCTCTGTACTCATACCCCTTGCTTTAGTCATGCAAACCTCAACCTCAGTGCAACCTCCCAGCAATAAAAATACTAAGTATCTTTGTTAAATGGCCATTCAATAAAGTCCGGGTAAAAACACAATAAAACAAATAAACCACAGGGCTAAAGCCTTTAGGTTGAGTGACAAGGGTGAATTGGAGTTGAATCGCAAACTGACGAATCGGCAACCGACCTGTTATCAGTGATAACAGAAGATGATCCTCAAGGGATCAAGCTGAAATCTAGTCTTGAACTTGAATCAAACGATCAAGAGGACCTGTAACACATGACAGGTCAATGCCCCAGGCTAAACCTATAAGTCCATGGAGAACAATCTCCATATCATGGTCTTGCCCAAATCAACCTAGTTAACTATATTTAAGCCTGTCTCTAAGCAAGTGTTCAAAGAAAGGGTAGACTCATGGCAAAATCTCCCCTATTCAAGGTGGATCGTCAGAATTGTGACCTGTCGAAATATAATCTGTCTCCTCTAAACTAAGAAAATTTCGGCAGCGCTTCCCGTAGGAAAAGTGTCTTTTCAGAATTTATATAAGTACAAATATAAGAGCAGAAATAATTCTGAACTCTTGAAAGCCAAATTTTGTCTAACTCCCTGAACTAGTATAAATTTGGACAACACTCCCATAGGAAGGGAAACTTCCCAGATTTATACTAAGTCAGATGTGAACTCAAAAGACAATTTGAGTCCAACTTAGACAAGATTTAACTAACTCCTTAGTTTTGCAGAAATTCTGGTAGCACTCCCTTTAGAAAAAGTGCTTTCCCAAAAATTATAAAAGGTTCAGTCCAGAATTTGAAAGTAACTTTGACTTCTCAAAGTCCAATTTTGTCTAACTCCCTGAATTAGCAAAACTTTGGGCAACACCCTCTTTAGAAAATGAGACTTTCCAGATTTTTACTAGGTCAGATATAAAGAAGAGACAAGTTGAACTTTCACAAGTCAACAATTGACTAACTCCTTGAATGAAATTTCGGCAGCGCTTCCCGTAGAGAAAGTAGTTTACCAAGATTTATATAAAGCCAAGTATAAAAAAAGATCTCAGAAAATGCAAGAATTGACCTAAGTAAAAAAAAATTATTACAGAAAATGCAAGAATTAACACTAACTCATATGACTCTAGCACGTGGCGAGCAACTAAAGCAACTACCTATAATACTGAAACCCAAACAAACTAGCCATCTCAATCAGTCACATGCAAACCTAACCACAAAAGTAAGTACTCTCACTTACCCCAAGTTCATTCCATATAGATAGTTTATGAATTTTTTAAGTCCTTCAACCGTTATTTTCCTCTTACATAAGACATAAGGTTGGACCATTCGCCATGAAAACAATGCCCAGCTTGCCTTCAAGATATACACGAACAGGCTGCACAACTACTTCTCTTTTTTTTTGGGCATAGGACTAGGCCATTCGCCATGGAAATAATGCCTAGCCGTCCTGAGCCGTTTAATATCCAAAATTTAGTATTTCTCTGACTTTGTTTTCAAAAAGGAAAGCAAATATGGGCAAGGGACTGAACCATTCGCCATGGAAACAATGTTCAGCTTGCCCAAATTATTTTCATTTATACTTCGTATTTTTCTCTTTATCTTCTTGATGATATGGCTTAACGCTGGACCGTTCATCATGGAAACAATGTCCAGCTGTCAGTTCACATGCAAATATATATAAAGTATTTTTCCTTAATACTTAGTTTAACTTAGGTGCGTGGTTTTCAGGCTGAACCATTCACCATGGAAACAATGCTTAGCCTTAGACTAGAAATTCTCCCTCAGAATAAACAAGAACTTAAACTCCTTCAATCAGGCAAACCCCCAGAGTTAACTAGAGCAGCCAGACCATTCACCAGGGAAACAATGCCTGGTTCCCCAAAAAAACAACTAAATAAACACAACCTTGAGTCATTCACCATGGAAACAATCCTCAGGCTTTGGTTGACCCTTCCAAACGCATGCAAGACTACCTTCCTCCCACCTTCCCCCCACCTTCCCCCAGTTTATCCCTTTGTCTGCTTTCAACCAAAATCAAGAAGAAACTTAGGCTTCACTCTCACACGTTTCTTCCATTCAGTCTGATTGGGTCCTGAAGAGAAAACAAAAACCATAGGGACAACCTCATGCATACAATAGTCATACTGCAGGGGGATAAACAAACATGGGTGGTAGTAGGTTGTACAGTTGGAAGTGGTTTAACGAACGATTCCCTGCCTCCAGAACTCCTCCTGAGTACCGGCAGGGCTCCCACAATCGGTGGGTGGACTCCCTACAGAGTCTTGACGCGGACCTACGGGTTGCAATCCCGCCTGCAGCCTTCTCTCAGAACCAATGGAATAGATTTAGAGTAAGAAGGGAAGAAGGAGAACATTTGAGACTGTGAGATCCAAGAGAGGTGTTTTCACACTCGCGGGAGAGGGCCTTCAAATCTTCAGCGCCTGAGGGTCCCGCGATAGCGGCCAACTGAGAGCTTGGTTAACGACTCTGGACCGCTGAGGTAACTCCCCATGACGAACCTCCAACTCGTAGCACTAACTCCCTTTTCCACCACTCTACCATGCTGCAATCAACAGCCCCTCTCGCAGTCAATGTATACCCAGTCAAAACAGCAGCAACAATTCGCTAGCATACAGCAGCGACGGCCAACAGAAACAACAGCAGTAGGCGCCAGTAGCAGCAGTCCGCACACCGTTCACCGACGCAGCAGTGGTCGTTTCCCTCCGCCTACAGCAGCCTTCGTGCGCAGTGGCAATCAATAGTTGTTTATGCCCAGTCCGTAGAAGC